AGAAGGTAAAGTATTTACATCTGTTTGATACATTGTTTGTATGACATAAAAAATGTATAAAAAAAGTATAAAAGACGCGACTCTATAAGTTTCGTCTTCTCAAAACCTGCATTGTACCTGTCTACCGGTTTCCTGAGAGTACAAGTGGTTTTTGAAAGTGTATCAATAGTTAAGTTGGTGAGTTCATAAGTATGTTTTAGTGATGGAAAGTTTGTCTCTGTGCTTTGAAAATGATAGTATGTTTCTCTAGAAAATCCAATATTTTCTATAGTGTATCTAATATAGTCTTAGGACTGAAGGCCAAAATGTATGCTGTTACTGTACTCTGTAGTAGTGTATGTAGTCTTGTTACTGAATAAAACCATATAATGTACGTTTTCCCTAAACTGTATGTAGTACTAGAGTACTCTATACTAGTAAAATATTGTATCGTAGTAGTGTTTGTTATGAAACCTTTGTATGAAAAACCTGGATACCACTAGTAGTAATGTATTGTAGTGTAACGTTTGAAAACCCTTTGTATGTATTCCCGGATACCACCAGCTGTAATGTGTAGTAGTGTTATTACTTAAAATAAAACCATTTGTTTGTATGTCTGGAATTCTCTAGCTGAAATGTATAGTAGTTTTATTACTTAAAATAAAACCATTTGCAGAAATATTAATCCCATAAATAAATGATTTAGTTTATACTATTGAGAGTTTCATATAACCATAATTGATATGACCTAGTGATCTCTACGACATTCTTCAGGCGTCGGAATGTTATGAAATTTGTCACCCAGGCCTGCCGGCCTAACTGTATCTATCATTCCAAGCGTGGTATTGTCAGTCTCGTATAGATCTATACACAAATCTCACGCTCTCCCTACAGGAGACTTTGGTTATACTGTATAGGATTTAGTTCCGTATTCTGGTGGATACAATTGAAGTAGTGCCTCATAACGTTGTATTAACTTGTTTACGTGTAGTGTTGTAGTGTTCTCTTGTACTTGAAACTGTATGTATACCCTTGTAGTAGGGTACTTTGTAATATAAAATAATTATACTTAAATAATTATTTAGTAATGTATCCTTGTATCAGGGAAATAGTGTTGTACTCCATAAACTATATCTACCATAGTTCATATGTTTGCTTCTGAATAGTGTTCTTGAACTGTTAAAATAGTGTAATATATCCCAAACTATACCTATTATAGTTTGAATGTATGTTCTAGTTTTGTGTATTGAACTTAGTAATAGTGATATAGTGTTCTCAAACTATACCCATTATAGTTTAATTTTATGTTCTGTAATGTACTGAAAAAACTTTGCAATTTAACTGTATGTAAACATTAATAGTCAGAAAGCTTGTGATAAACATCCATTTTACTCGACATGTTACAAAAGGCTCAAAAATATATAAACATATATTTTTTTTTATAAAATATAGTGATAAATCGGTTTGAATCAATTGCAAAATGGTTTTGAAATCGTTTGTAATATTAACAAAAGAATACTCGTGTTTTACTTGTATCGCCCTAAAAACATTGAAATAGTGAAAATGTAGGGGTATGAACTCACCTCTGTTACGTGTTCGTGTTTAAATAGCGTGATTAGAAAGATGATCATCGGGCTAGCGTATGTGGAAAGAACGGTATCCTAGAATTATTTAAACACTTAATCATATTTAAATTAGTGAAATAATAAATTAAAGTGTTAGACAACACTTGATTTATGTAAGGAATTTCTTGTAAGCATTACCGAAAATGGTATGAAGTGTTGAGGAGGTTTTTCGGTCAAGGCTCCAATGAAATCCTCGATTTTGGTCCTAAATTGTCAATCGAGGTCCAGGTCTCGGTATTGAATGAGTTTTCAGCCGGGAACGTGTTCTCGGTCCAAGGTGTTTTGCCAGTTTGAAGATTTGAAGATTATTCTTAGTGTTCTTGGTGAAAACTATGAAGATATGAATAATTTTTCTTAAAGGTATGTATGTTCTTGGATGATACTTGAGAGAAAAATGGGAGTATTTTGAAGTGAAAGAGTGAGAAATGGCCCACATTTTCGGATGAAAATATTAATATCGGTTGGGATTTCGGTCAGAAAAGGGGTTCTTGGCCGAAATCCATTTGCGGTCTGAGACCTGATTTCAGGTGAGAGGGTTTTCGGTCCAAGGGTTCTTGGTTCCAAAGGAAAAACTTTGATTTTTAGTGTATTTTATTTCAAATAGCTATATAAAAGCATCATTTATATAATTTAAATCGTTTTTAATCCTCATGGACTCAATGAAATAAATAAAATTTGAAATTTATTTAAGAATGTTTGACTTTTGTTGACTATAAAAATAACGGGTTGCTACATTATCCCCCCGTTAGAAGGAATTTCATACTGAAATTCTTTCTATAGTGGGTACATCATGGACTAGGGAAAAATATGCGGATATTTTTGTTGCATCTGATCTTTGTTTCATTCGTTTGACTTCCCTATCCATGATTTCTACTGGTTCTTCCACAAAGTTAAGACTCTTGTTTACCTCGATTTCATTGAGTGGAATCACACGAGTCTCGCCAGATAGGCACTTCTTAAGATTTGACACGTGGAAGACGGTGTGTACGTTGTTAAGTTCTTGTGGTAGGCGAAGTTTGTAAGCTACTGGGCCGATTCTAGTGAGAATCTCGAATATCCCGATGTACCTTACATTTAGCTTCCCATGCTTTCCGAAGCGTATCATACCCTTCCAGGGTGAGAACTTCAACAGAACGCGGTCACCAACCTGGCATTCCAAGGGCTTTCTCCTTTTGTCTGCGTAGCTCTTTTGTCTATCTCTAGAGGCTTTTAGTCGCTCTTGGATTTGAACAATCTTTTCTGTGGTTTCTCGAATGATCTCCGGACCAGTGAGAGTGCTATTAGGGACTTGTCCCTTAGCTAGCGACATGTCGCCCACTTCAGCCAAGCACAAAGGGGATCTACACTAACGACCATAGAGAGCTTCGAATGGGGCAGCTTTGATGCTAGAGTGATAATTGTTGTTATATGAAAACTCGACAAGAGGAAAATGTGTATCCCATGCATTTCCAAAGTCAATAACACAAGCTCTCAGCATGTCTTCTAGTGTTTGAATAGTTCTCTCACTCCGCCCTTCAGTTTGTAGATGGTAGGCTATGCTCATGTCCAACCTAGTTCCAAGAGCTTCTGAAGTGACTGCCAAAATCGTAAGGTGAAACTAATCTCTATCCGAGATAATAGATATGGGCACACCGTGCAGTCGTACTATCTCTCGGATGTAAGTTCTGGTCAGTTTCTCCATTTTGTATGTTTCTCTGATAGGCAGGAAGTAGGCGGACATGGTTAATCTGTCAACGATTACCCAAATAGTGTCATTACCACCCGAGGTCTTGGGCAATTTGGTTATGAAATCCATTGTGATCCGTTCCCACTTCCGCTCAGGTATCTCTGACTATTGAAGTAAACCTAAGGGCTTTTGATATTCTACCTTGACTTTGGTGCAAGTTAGGCACTTTCCCACATAGGTAGCAATTTCGGCCTTCATGTTTGGCCACCAATAGAGTTTCTTGAGATCCAGATACATCTTGTACAGTATCACAACAATTGCATAATAGTAATCAAAGTAAACACAACCATTACATTGAGAAGGT